TTAATCGCTTGTATGTTTTAATTAATTCAATACGCTGGTAGTACCATTTACCAAAAAACTTACTAATTATGAAATAAAAATAGTATGTATAAAAAAAAATAAAAATAAAACTCATGAGAATAAAAATATTTATTACGAAACGTCAATTGACAAAGATATTATTTGAGCAAAATTCCACATGGGGAATATTCGCACATTAATTCGTTGACCCTTGAACTTCCTTATCTTTATTCTCCCTTGATTTATGGGAAAAAGATACGACAATAACTAAAGTAGTCGGAGTTTTCTTTACGGTACGAGAGAATCGGGTGGCTTGAGGTGTGTGTGTGTGTGTGTGTGTGTGTGTGTGAGAGAGAGAGAGAGAGAGAGAGAGAGAGAGAGAGAGATTCCATATATTTATAGTGCTCCTTGTTAGTTAGGGTTTGAAGAATAATAATAATTAATTAGGATATTCTTACCAAAAAAAAGGAGATTGAAATTAATCAAGGAGATTCGGTGGAAATCTCATCCTTGATTTAAGGAGATATTCCTATATTAAATCAATTATAATTCCCCTAATTAAATAATTTGGATAACTGATTGACTTAAGAAATTTGTAACATCTCACATCGACCAATGGAGAGGAGGTGATGTGCTTTATATGTACATGCCCGCCTCCATCTAGCACGAGGCCTTTTGGGAGCTCACTGGCTTCGGAGTCATGAGAACTCCGAAGTTAAGCGAGTTGGGGCTAGAGCGATCTCAGGATGGGTGACCTACTAAACTTCTAGGAACTCCGAGAGAGGGGGCCCAAAGTGGACAATATCGTGTTACGGCAGAGCCGATCCCGATATGTGACAATTTGGTATCAAAATCACTCTGCCGTGTGGTGCGAGTGTGCTGACAAGGACGTTGGGCCCCTAGGGGGTGAATTGTAACATCTTACATCGACCAACAGAGAGGGGGTGATGTACCTTATACATACTAGCCCATTTTTTGCTCAAGCAAACCGACAATAGCGAGCTTGGCAACATCGCCAACATCATCACTTAGCAAAGCTTTCAGTTCAGGATTGAGATTATCCGGAGTTAGCTGCTGCAATTTCAATTAACTAAACTCATTAACCATAAATTGATACTTAATTATGTTATTAGAGTCTTAATGATTTTGGTGTTAAGATCAAACAGCACCACATACCGCATTGAATGAAACCTTCAATATGCAATCTCCAGCTCTTATGGTATTCGAAGCAAACAGAGACCTTCCGTATGCTGATTTCCTAATCGAAAGCACCATCGATATCTCAACGCCGGCCTTGCTCTCCAACCACGGCAAGAGGTTGTCCAATTCCTTGACCTGACAGAGAGAATGCAATGAAGATGAAATGTGGGAGTTGGGCTTGGTGCTTGGAGTATGGGAGAGGCTAAGATTTGGACGACAAGGACACCAGTGTTTGCTAATTTTTCGAGCACTCAGCAGCATTGCGTCTGAACGTCGTCGTTTTCGGTTATGTAGAGTGTTGGCGCTATATTGGCCTAGGGGTGGGCATTGAGACTGAAAAAAGGAACAACGAGCCAGAACCAAAAAAAAATCGTGTTGACTACAAAGTCAACAAACCAATAACATACCGAAATGAATTGGTCCAAATTGATTCTAGTGTCGGTGTCACACCTTACAAAATCGGATCAGACCGATTATGTATTTTTTATTTTTTTAAAGTTATTTAAGTTCAATGCTATAATCTCATAACTAATATTTTCTCAAGTCCAACTTTAAAATACCTTTTTTTTTTTTCTAAGGCCAATCATACCTCTTTGCATGAAATTGGGTCGTTTGTGAATTTTTAAGATCAAAAAATAAAAAATTTGTTGGACCTAAGTTATTTCGATTGGACCTTGAATCAGGTGGTTAAAGCCATGAGAGAGAGAGAGAGAGAGAGAGA